CAAGCTGATCTTCTTGCGCATGATCCACGAGCTAGTTCTCAACAAGGAAAGTTCCCTAAGCTATGCTCTGGCTATGGCGGTTCAGGCCAAGAATCGCCTCATGAGGCGGTGTGGAAAATCACCAATTCAAGTAGTTCAAGGCCGTGATCAGGTCGTGCCCTCGTCCTTGTTGGAACAAGTTGATCGAGCTGAGGTGCGCTTTGCCTCCAGCAGCCAGATTTTAGAAAATGAAGAGCACCAATCCATGGAGCGCATGCGGCAAGAAGCAGCTGCAGGCTTCCATTGGTTGGATTCACATGAGCGTCTCCGAATGGCTTTGAACAGTCGCAGTAGGCCTCCTCATTTGAAGGCTGATGCTTTAGCTCCTGGAACGGTGGTCTATGTCTTCAAGCAACCAGGCCAGAACAAGAGGCTGCAAGATTTCGCCACCGGCTATCAGGGGCCGGCAGTTGTGGCATGTGCTGATGGGCCGGTTCGACTGGGTTCGGTTCAAGGGCTCTGTTGTTCGGGTTGCTCTGGAAAACGTGCGCCTGGCTACGCCAGAAGAAGAAGTCGGGCCAAGCTTCATCATGGATGCCTTGAAGACTTTGGAGGAAGAGCTGACGGGTAACCGACGGCCTCCAGGCTATGAAGAAGAAGGAGAAGAGGCGGAAGCAGTTGAAACTGCTGGCCCCCGTTCAGGTGACCTTCCTTCCGGCGCCCCCAGCGAGACGCAGTTCCACTCAGGCATGACAGGGGCGGACCCGAAGGAAGGAGTCCTGGACACCGCGCCGCTGGTCTCAACTGCTCCGGTACCTCAACCTACACCCGAAGTCGTGGCCTTGGCTATAAGGAGTCAGCTGATCGTTGTCGAGTTCTAGATGGCTTGCCACGGAAATTCCGAGCTTCTCCTTATGAGCTTCAGCGCCCATCGACAGTGACAGAAAAGATCGAATTCTTTGAACGTGGAGGTGATGAAACCTGGAAATCCATCCTGTCCCAGGCCAGTGAGAAGAAACCATCTTAGACACTCCAACGACGCGCTTTGGACACCATTTTCAACAGAAGGAATCATTTCTTAGTTAACGACGTCGCTCGTAGAAACGACGCTGTTGGAGCTACAATACGCATCATTACGCAGTTTTACGCAGCAATTTCGCAAGTCATACGCATCATTTTTCGCAAAGGACATCATACGGCTTGCTTTGTAGAAACGGCGTCCAAAGCACATCATTGGAGCGTCTAGGATTGCCATCGGCACTTCAACGGTTCTCTGCCGAGAAGGATCTTCAGGCAGTCGACCATGCAATCGAACAAGGGTTGCAAGAGCATGTCCGACAACGTGATGGGGGCGGAGAATCCATGTTGAAGACACCTCGACTTGAGAATGACTCATCCTCTGCGATGCCTGTTGAAGCAGGGGTCAGTTCAGTTGGTCCGTGGGTCGCTGAGGCCAAGATGGCTTTGGAAGCATGGGCTCTGCAGTCTTCGACATCTCTGTCAGAAAGTGAGCGCATGAAGGCCATGATTGAAGAGTTCGATGGCCAACAAATGGAGCTTGAGCGGGGTCATCGGGCAGGACCAGAACCGGGACCTCGTGGAGACATATACTTCAAGGACATGACCCCGACAGAACAAAGGTTGACCGTACCAGCGCTCATCAAGGCTCTGGACATTCATTGCCAGTATCAAGCTGTAGAGCCAGTCCCCTTGGATACCCCAATAGCCAAGGAGGCCACTCTGCAGAGCAGGTTTGTCATCGTGAACCAAAAGTGGCTCCAACGATTGTTTGGGCCCAAGGGACGGTTGTGTGTGGGGGGTCATCGAGATCCTCAAGCTGGGGAGTATCCCACGTCATCTCCAACAGCTCAACTACTTGGGCATCACATTCTCCTGATGGTCATGGTTGGAAAGAAATGGAAGGGATATGGTGGAGACATCACTGCTGCCTTTTTGCAGGGAGAACCCCTTCCTCGGGACAAGCCGCTTTACATTTGGATGCCCAGAAAGCTGCCAGCAGGTGTTGTGTCGTATCTTGATGACAAGCTGAAGGGATACAGAACTGATCTCGTCAAAGTGGTGAAGGGCGTTTTTGGTTTGAACGAATCCCCTCGCTTGTGGTACTTAGGCCTTCGCAAACATTTGTGTGCCTTGGGATTTCGGGAACTGTCTTTAGCACCATGTGTCTTTGTTCTCCATGTGAAAGGGAAGCTTGAAGCTATGGCCACTGTTCATGTAGACGATGTTCTTCTAGCCGGCAGTGACTTGGCAGAACCTGTCTGGGAAGAACTCAAGACTCGTTTGACTTTCGGCAGCTGGAATTCCATGCTCGACGGCTTCAAGTTTTTGGGGAGACAAATTGCGCAGGACGCTTCCACTCTAGAGGTCACCACCAATATGACCGAGTACTGTGCTGACTTGGAAGAGGTGATCATCGACGCTCACCTTCCTGATCAACAACCTTTGACTGAGGCACAAGTGACGGACCTGAGATCCGCTGTCGGTAAGCTAAGTTGGGCAGCACGACAAAGTCGTCCTGACGTGTTGTTCTTAGTATCTTGGCTCCAACAAAGTTTTTCAGAACCTCAGGTGAAACACCTTCGGCAAGTGAACACCGTCATTAAAGCTCTCAAGAAAGAGCTTCCCTTACGGTTTGTTCATTTGGGTTGCCCCTCGGAAGAGGCCATTTTTGTGGTTTCCTCGGATGGAGCCTATGGCTCGATGCCCGGAGGACGTTCTCAGCAAGGTTGGTTGGTTGGATTAGCAAACCCTGCCATCAAAGATGGCGGTGCTCGCATGAATCTGATCGAATGGCAGAGCACGTCATGTAAGCGGGTTGTGCGGTCTTCCATGGCCATTGAAGCCTGTGCTGCCTCTTTGGCTTTTGAACATGGAGAGTACATCCGTGCCCTGTTTTGTGAAGTGATGTGTAGCGATTTTGAAGTGAAGCGGTGGGGACATTTTGTCCGTTTGTGGGAACTGATTCTTGTTCTTGATGACAAAACGGCTTTTGATACTCTTCAGACTGAAAGTCTCCCGCAAGACCGCCGCACGGCTTTGGATTTGTTGGCCATAAAGGAATCTTTGTTGAATGAAGCCAATCGGGCTTTGTGTCGTTGGGTTCCTGGTCCACAACAGTTAGCCGATAGCCTTACCAAAGACAAAGGCAATAGAATCCTCCCAGACTTTTTAGAGTCCAACGAATGGTGTCTCCAGGAAGATGTCTCATGGCAGGAACAGAGGGCTCGTCAGAGGGCCACTAAGACCGTGTGAAGACGCTTCGTCTTGAGGCAACCCAGGGAGGTACCGGGGTGAGTTGAACTGCAACTCATCCCATTCGTTCGGCACTTCATGATGTTGACCGTACAGCCACCTTACTCTCGAGTGACCGCTCTAGGAAAAGGTCGCATGGGCTCCTTCGTTCCCCCTTGCCACTTCAAGTAAAAGAAGACCGAGAAAGCGAAGAGAACCAGCAGGAACGAAAGCAAGACAGCATCAAAGTGTCTACGTTAACGGCATGACATTACATTCTGTGGGGATATCTCAGTGAGCCCTGCGGCAAGGAAGCTGCAATCTCAAGCAAAGCCGAAAAGTCAGTAGGTTTCAAGCAGGGCCGAGACAATCAGTGGAATTCCCCCCTAAGGGTCTATGCTCAACGCGCCCCAAATGGATCACACAACAGACCGCAGTGGGACCCTGTTGCGAAACACACTTCGACCCATGCTCGCAAGAGCTCTATCCGTTTTGAAATTCCCGAGTTACCTGTGTTTAGATTTTGGCTGAATTGCAGCGAAACAACGCATGAGACAGCTTGAGTTTTACTCAGAGTTCTAGGCATTTATTGCAGGTTAGACCTTGACTGAATTACAGCGAAAGAACGCATGAAGCAGCTTGAACTTTACTTAGTTCTAGCTTGCTCGCCGATGAATACTTAGCACTTGACTTGAGTCAACGGTAAGAATGCTGGATCAGAGAACCGAATCGTTCGAACACACGCAGTGGCCCTTTAGCCCTTTAGAATGAATTAAAATTTCCGGAATAGCATCAGGTACACCAATCAACAGTTAAACAACAACAGGCACGTTTACACCTCCCTGGTGCGCGGTCTTCATTGGCCAGGACGCGCGCCAAGGAGTCCTGGCCCCCTGCTGGGCTGTACATGAGTAGAAGCTGGGAAGGACAAGGTAGAAATGAATTAATGTGGTCGTGCTCCTTAGACACAGGAGTTGACACACTTATAGAATTGCGTACGGATGTGATTGCGGTTTGCCACACGCCGGCCTGAGTTAAAAAACCTGAGATACCAGGAGAATAGGTAGTAAGTTAAAGGCCATCGCTTTTAGGTTGGAGGCCTTCACAGAGAAGTTGGAGGCCAACACCTAAGGTTGGAGGCCGTCACTAGTAGGTGGTAGGTAGTATGCACAAGCAAAACAAAAGTGACAAGTAGTAGGTTAAAGGCCATCGCTTTTAGGTTGGAGGTCATCGCAAGGACGTTGGAGGTCAACGCCTAAGGTTGGAGGCCGTCGCTAGTAGGTGGTAGGTAGTGTGCACAAGCAAACAAAAGAAACAGCGAGCAGCGAGGTTGGAGGTTGTCGCTAGTGGGTTGGAGGCCGAAGGACCAGGTTGGAGGCCAGCGCAACAAGTTTACCGCAAGTACCTGTGCCCACCCCAACTCTGCAGACTGGATAGGAAAGCACCCAGTCCAACAGAGTGGACGCGCCGGCCCTAAGGGCAACCGGCATAAAAACTACTAGAAGGACACCAAAGGTAGGGAGAGGCAATAGCAACGAGGTTTGAGGCCAGCGCTACAGGTTAGGGGCCCACAAGACACAAAGCAGCAAAAACAAACCCCCTCAATAAAAGAAAACACAAAAATCAAAATTTAGATCGTGACTCCAAAGGTTACCCTGCAACATCCAGGTAAACTTCAAAATTTGTGCGTATCATACATTCCAAAAGTGACACACACACACACACACTGCTTGGGGTCTCTTGCCGGGATAATTGAAGAGCCCCCGCAGGTGAGCGGATTGGAAGAGCTTCTGGAGGCTGGTCAAGTAAAGCTCAACCGCTGCACAGTGGAACTCCAGGTGCGGGGCCAATGTTGGTTTGTGCTAGTCCTTGACCATGCACGGTGCTCATTCGATCCCAAATGAGCCTTTAGGAACGACGTCTCAAAACTCAAGTTTGTTCTTGCAATATATTGCATTTAACAATTGTACTTGCAATCAAATAGTCTGAAGTTTGATTGATGATGGAAAAGTGTTTGTTCTTGAGTTGTCTCGAAGTCGTGAGCAATCTTCGGGTGGATCAGGCAGTTTGTTCTTTCTTGGCCCGTGCTTTGCACTTGGGAAATTGAATTGCCGATATCGAGTAAGTATTGCATTGTTGCATGTTTCGCGAAACGGTTTGCCTTGCGCGAACTCGTAAGCTGAACGCTAGCCTTTCAGTTCCTTGTTTTTCTTAGATCTTACAAACTTGTAGAATTTATCACATGTCTAGACACCCCTGGCCAGGCCTTGCAAAAGCTTCAGTCTGCCAAAACCTCTCCTTTGGCAATAGGCCGGCGAGCGGCGGGGTTTGCACTTTCCTTTGTGATGTCTCCCAGCGATGTTTTGTTGTTCAAGGCCACAGACCTTGCGCGCTGGAAGCGGAGAAACAGAACTAAACTCTGCAGCTACTGTAGTTTCTAGGAGGAGGTCAAGCACCGACTCCAGGAAAGAACAACATTGACCCACCTGATTTTTTGATGCCTGATCTTTGAAAGAAAATTAACAGATACTCAAGGCACCTGGTGTTGGCTCACAGTAAGCTAGTAAGCGGTGTGTTATACCGCTGTAGAGTCTCTAGAGGTCCCCAGTTGTTTGTTCCTTAATCGCTCCTGGAATGGGAACCAACGTCACAAGCAACAGGCGGAAGCCGAGAAAGCCAGCAACTTTCCTGCAAGAGTGTTTTGAACTTACGTGAAAGAATACAGGGAGCACATGTGGGAACCTTGTATGTCATTTGTGTTCCCAATTACAATTCACTCTTTTCTGAAAAGCAGGTCGCTGACAAAGAAAGGGTTCCTTCAGTGAGCTGAGGACGTCGAGACTCAAAGAGCTAGTGGAGCAAAGGTATGCCAAGGCCAGATTCAACATTGAGCAATCAAAACCCAGAATCTCAAAGACCTTAATCCAGCCCCATCGATTGTCCTTTGAGCTGATTGCTTCTGAAGAATGAATTTGTCAAACCTGAAACATATCGTGTGGACTCCTTGTGAAGGAGAATAACTTGTTGGGTACGGTTTCTTGAAATGCAGCTGGTCACACACATCACATACTGCACCATACTACAACTACCTTTGCAAGATCAGAGGGTCGCTGGGTCCAGGTAGGTGAATTGGATGCAGAGCAACAACGTCTCAAAGCAGAGGCTGGGTGTATTTGATCTGTATAGTGTATAGTCTTAGCTGGAATACCGATGGCAAGCTTAGCCGGATTGATTCACCCGTCGCTTCCACATTAGCACTGCTACCCAGAGGATCGCACGATAGACAGCGATGTGATGTTCATTGATCGCAAAAGCTGCTGCCTTCCTCGACAACAGGCTTGATCATAGTGTACCTACGTTCTTTGGATCACTTTGACACAAGTCAAGTTTCTGGAATCAAGTTGCTTAATTTCTCTCCCATTCTAGGAACTGTGTCCATCATTCAAATAATCTTTGCGGCCACATGTTGTAGTAACTTCCTATGCCACCTTGTCTCTCTTAACTAGATTCCTACCTCCCCTTGCCTCGTTAATGATGTTGCTTCAGGTCTTGGACTTGCGTGGAATGAAGTAGCCTGAGATGCACCCGAGCCAGCTCACAGAAGTGATCTTTGCATGCGAGTTCGGCTGTCGTACTCGTCGTGTTGTTTCGTTGCACTAGCAGTACCAGTGCCGTCGGGTTTGCTCACACGCCCTTGCAGAGTTCTTGCAGAGTTCTTGTATGTTCTTCTTATATCTTCTTATCATGTTGCTCTCTCCTAAAGAAATCTTACTCGCATGCTGAGTTCGATTCAGCAAGCGGGACGATCAAGACAACAGACTCACGATGACTCACGGAATTCCCAAAACATGTGTGCAAACCTGCAGGCTGTGCCCGGACCATTTGATATACAGCCTGTATAGATTTGTGAATTATAAGTGCACAGCATGTCCAACACATGCCTCGCACCTTCTTTTCCACGGGCGAATTAGCCTGGAATATTGGTAACTTGCTAGGTTTCCGGGGACCACTCTGAGGAGTGGTTTGACAGGTCACAGAAAATAGAGGGCCGGGCTAGGTGTGAAACCGAGGTGGTAAGGTGATGTAAGGTGTACTGAGTACATCTTGTGCGCTTTTTGCGCCTTCATGGGTTAGACAAGGCTGGGTGAAAACCATTAAATGCCCGAGGGAAAAGACTGAACAATGTCAAAGGAGAATCCTGAACAGGCCAAAACTTTTAAGAACATCGGTTTCTCACAGATCCACAGAAAGTTGCTATGCCTTTTGGGCTCAAGCTTGCCAAACCAGGGGCAGAGGAACCACGCAGCAAAAAAAAGCGTCAAAGTGTAGCAAAGCTGTTGCCTTCCAATGTCGCTTTTTTCACTGCTTGCTGCACGTGAAGCCCATTTATGAGGCCAGACTGGGAAGAGGATACTAGTAGCTACTTGCTCCTAGTAGTACGGCCAGGACACCCTAGTAGCTACTTGCTCTAGTACGGCCAGGAGCCCCTAGTAGCGTCCTAGCTCCTAGTAGCGATGCCAGGAGCCTCTAGTAGCGTCCTTGCTCCTAGTAGCGATGCCAGGAGCCCCTAGTAGCGTCCTATTCTTTGGCTTTGGTGATGATTTTCAGTTATGATATCCCATGAGCAATCTTCCTGCGATAGTTAACTACTTTGTTTGAGAGATGGTGTCCAGTTAGTTCTTGATGATGCAGCTACTGTACAGTACGTGACCTGCTGTTTGTCCATTTTGCGGACCAGACCATGCCTCCATAGGAAGCTATCAATGGTGGCGGTTTCTTCATTTCTCCTCGTGATTTCTTCCGACTGCTTTTTGGCAAATCAGCTGAGCAGCATGACAAGGACAGGTTGACGATGTGGGCTGATGCTACTTTGAGATCCCAAAGCAAGTATCCAGTCTCTTGCAAATGCAGTGGTTGAGATGAACGTGATGTACTGTGTATACGTCCCGCAGAGCAACTCTTTGTTTGTCCTTTTGGCCACTAGTGCGGTAATTCCCAAATTGAATCCTGACAGGGTGTGTGCGCCACATCCTTTGGGGATTGAGTTTGCTGGAACTTGAATCGTCTAAAAGCAACTCCTGCCTACACGTGGGGCTAGAAAGCTGGGCAGTCAGAAGACAATGCATAGCCAAAGTGACAAAGTGCCAACGGAAACACCTCATTTGCAATTCTTTCAGGCTGGCTTTCGGGACACAGTTCGGCCACATCAGTGTTTGCAGGCAGCAAGATGCCCTAGGCTTCATCATTGCTAACCCTTTGGCCATGTGTCACCTGCAGCAACATGCAAATCGTTTGTTTTGGTATCCTTGCTTCCATTGAGTTGCAAAAGCCGGCGACAGCCGTGCAAGAGCAGGCCAACTGGTACTGGTATGAGTACTGTATTAGAATCAACCCAGCCACGTGTGCACGCGCGCGCACTCAGAGACACACACTTATGATTTGGTGTACGGAACTGAATGCCACATGCCACACGCCAGCCTAGGTAAACCGCCTAAGGTTCCAGGTAGTAATTGGAAGTTTGAGGCCATCAAAACCTATAAGCACGAAAGCGGGCGGCGGCGACAGGGTGACGACGGGTTGCGCAGGTCTGTGGAGCTCAAAAGGCCCAAAGGTCCGAGGTGACTTGCCGCTGCATTGGACGCTTATACTGCACAACAAAGAATGAGACAGCTTTCGCCATACTTAGGTTCTCAACAGCAGGTACACCAGGTTGATCAGACCTGGCTTCCCAGATGCAAGGTGGCTTTGTTAGGCGCAGTCCCTTGCATCTGCTGCGCCCCCTGGCTGAAAACTATTCAAAAGAATCCCTATGACTACAAGGGGCACACACACTCTGACATTGGTTTTCAGTTAACTCAATTGCCACGTTGGGAAGGAAGGTGAAGAACGGTAAGGTGAAGAGTCCGCAAAACTTGTAGATGTTTGAACAAACTGGTTTGAAGTCTGCAGAAAGCACTAAAACGAAACGCTCACGAAAACGCGCGGCTCGGTTGCAAGAACGCGGTGGGAAGGTTTAGGGGGAGTATCATGAAGAACCATGAAAGCAAACAAGGTCAATTGGACAGCTTGTTCAACCGTTAAAAGCAGGTACACATCCATGGCCAGTGGATGCTTCCCTCTCTGATGCCTAGCTTCGTTGGACAGAGTAGCATCAGAGAGCTCTGTCCCCCTGCTTTAAATTAGACCCTTGGAAACAGGGTTTGACACACACACGGTGCCGCTTCGCGGCGCGCATGTGAAAGACCTGAATAGTCACCTAAAAAGCCTTAGAAACGAAAGAAAGAAAGACAGAAAGAGCAGCGCTAAGAGGGCAAGAGAGAAAGATAGGTGTAGAAAAATGAAAAGGTGAATACTTAGCCCTTGACTGGGGTAGGGAAACGAACCTCAAGAACAACCTAAAAAGCCTGAAAGAAAGCCCAACAAACGACGAAAAACGCAAGAAGGAAAGTGGGGGGCAGGGAGGGGGTGTATGTCCATGTGTGTGTACGTGTGTGTTTGAATACCTAGCACTCTAGAATTACTGAATACTTAGACGAAGTGAATTAGGTGCACTAGTTAGGGAGCGGGACTTTAGTCTTAGGCCGCCCGGGTAGGATAGACTAGAACAGGAACAACACAGGGAAAGGCACCGACACACAAGTGTGTCGAGTACCATTTCCCTATGTTGCCCTAAATAGGTAGGGAGTAGAACTCGGCTGGGGGGGGGGTGCCTCATTGCGGGTGGATTACCGTTTTATAGCCCGGCGGCTCTGGATTCGGCGGTTGAGATTGTCCGTTTTTTGGCCCGGCGGCTCAAAAGTCCGTTAATTCAGTTATGAAAGTGAAGAAACAAAGGGTCAGTTATAAGAATGAAAGATCGATGCTTTCCGGCATGATAGCAGCGCCTCCTTTCGGAGGGTCACACCCAGCACCCAAGTGGGAAGACTGAGCGGCTCACACTCTGACATTGGTTTTCAGTTAACTCAATTGCCACGTTGGGAAGGAAGGTGAAGAACGGTAAGGTGAAGAGTCCGCAAAACTTGTAGATGTTTGAACAAACTGGTTGAAGTCTGCAGAAAGCACTAAAACGAAACGCTCACGAAAACGCGCGGCTCGGTTGCAAGAACGCGGTGGGAAGGTTTAGGGGGAGTATCATGAAGAACCATGAAAGCAAACAAGGTCAATTGGACAGCTTGTTCAACCGTTAAAAGCAGGTACACATCCATGGCCAGTGGATGCTTCCCTCTCTGATGCCTAGCTTCGTTGGACAGAGTAGCATCAGAGAGCTCTGTCCCCCTGCTTTAAATTAGACCCTTGGAAACAGGGTTTGACACACACACACAAGCCTCCCTGAGGGGAGGCAAAAATTAAGGCTAGGACGAATGTGCAAATGTGCGCGCAGCAAAGACAAAAGGATGAAGACATGAGAAGGAGGACGGGACGTGACAAAAGTGTGTGTGGTTGCGATGAAAGAGAAACCAAGTGCACAGGGACAACCGATGAAACCCACCTCATTGTCGATACCTGGGCGACCTAAAACCGGAGTTGAAAGTAGATGCGCACGTACAAACTAAGGCCCGGACCGTTGTGTGCGCAAGAGAAAGAAAGGAGTGAGATGAAAGGACATGAAGCAACGGAAGACGTGAAAAGAAAGAGGAAAAAGAAGTGTGTGAAGGGGGAAGGATGAAAAGGGAACCAAATGGAGGGGACGGGAACCGATGAAACCAGACCTCATTACAACGACCTAGGAAGACCTGCCTCGTTAAAGTGTGTACGATGTGTGTGCACCTAAGAATCTGGCAGGTTCCAATGAACCTCAAAAGTACTTCTGACCGCTGTGGTCACCTTGTGCCCTGCCAAAGTGGCTGGCTGCTTTGACCGCTGCGGTCACGTAAAGGCATGAGCCAACTTGGAAATCAAAAAGTAAGACAAAAATCTGAGTTCTCTCGGCCTAGGCCACCTACGCTCGCTGCGAGCTGCTCTGGCCCCGGGCGCAGGGACGAAGACAAACCCCCGTTCGACGGGAGGCCATCAAAACCTGTGAGGGCGAAAGCGGGCGGCGGCGACAGGGTGACGACGGGTTGCGCAGGTCTGTGGAGCTCAAAAGGCCCAAAGGTCCGAGGTGACTTGCCGCTGCATTGGACGCTTACTGCGCAACAAAGAATGAGACAGCTTTCGCCATACTTAGGTTCTCAACAGCAGGTACACCAGGTTGATCAGACCTGGCTTCCCAGATGCAAGGTGGCTTTGTTAGGCGCAGTCCCTTGCATCTGCTGCGCCCCCCGGCTGAAAACTACTCAAAAGAACCCCTGTGACTACAAGGGGCACACACTTGAGAAGGTTGCTCCGTGGAGCGCGATTTCAGGCTGCTTCGCGGTGTGCATTAGCTCTTTAGGTGAATACTTAGCACTTGACTTGATTCAACGGAAAGAAGTGCTGAGTCGGTCGAACAGAATGTTTGAACATAGGTGAAACGTGGTAAGTCAACTAAAATTGCGCAGGTACGCTGGGATGATCAGTCCCAGTATCACCAAGGCTTAGAGAGCGTCTTCGTTGGTGGTAGACTCTCTGCCTTGCTACCACCCCCTGCTGCT